ACTGGACTGTCATGATTCTGTCTGGCACAACACCATACGACACTAGACTGGACTGTCATGATTCTGTCTGGCACAACACGACACCAGACTGGACTGTCACGATTCTGTCTGGAACAACACCATACGACACTAGACTGGACTGTCATGATTCTGTCTGGCACAACACCATACGACACTAGACTGGACTGTCATGATTCTGTCTGGCACAACACCATACGACGCTAGACTGGACTGTCATGATTCTGTCTGGAACAACACCATACGACGCTAGACTGGACTGTCATGATTCTGTCTGGAACAACACCATACGACGCTAGACTGGACTGTCATGATTCTGTCTGGCACAACACCATACGACGCTAGACTGGACTGTCATGATTCCGTCTGGAACAACACCATACGACGCTAGACTGGACTGTCGTGATTCTGTCTGGCACAACACCATACGACGCTAGACTGGACTGTCATGATTCTGTCTGGAACAACACCATACGACGCTAGACTGGACTGTCATGATTCTGTCTGGCACAACACCATACGACGCTAGACTGGACTGTCGTGATTCTGTCTGGAACAACACCATACGACGCTAGACTGGACTGTCATGATTCTGTCTGGCACAACACCATACGACGCTAGACTGGACTGTCGTGATTCTGTCTGGAACAACACCATACGACGCTAGACTGGACTGTCATGATTCTGTCTGGCACAACACCATACGACACTAGACTGGACTGTTGTGATTCTGTCTGGAACAACACCATACGACGCTTGACTGGACTGTCGTGATTCTGTCTGGCACAACACCATACGACGCTAGACTGGACTGTCATGATTCTGTCTGGCACAACACCATACGACGCTAGACTGGACTGTCGTGATTCTGTCTGGCACAACACCATACGGCACTAGACTGGACTGTCATGATTCTGTCTGGCACAACACCATACGACGCTAGACTGGACTGTCGTGATTCTGTCTGGCACAACACCATACGACACCAGACTGGACTGTCATGATTCTGTCAGGAACAACACCATACGACACCAGACTGGACTGTCGTGATTCTGTCTGGCACAACACCACACCACACTGGACTGTCATGATTCTGGCTGTCACGTTGCTACACTGTGTCCATACATCACATGATGCTGAGTGCTGACAGAACAGACCTTTGTTACACTCATCAGCAACATATTGGCTCATAGATGATATAAATACACACACAGACGGTTTTTAACATGAATCAGATGCAAGAAATCGAACGCATTGATATAAACAAGTTGGGTGTGGTTAAAAAAATATTCCGTGTTTGGCTCAGAATTATTGAAACTATATGTGCGTTGAACAGGTTGCAGATTTTAAGCAGACTTGTTTTTTCAAAGAGCTGGATGAAGGATACTGGCGTGTTTCTGTTCAAATACTGAACGCATAAAAAGATATTGAAATCCATCTCCAATGTCTCTCTTTGTTATAAAGGTTATACATTCTATTGAGGTGCATTTACCTCCTCCCTGTTATCATGGATAGGAAGATGGTGGTTAAGGCATGAATTTTAATAAAAGCACACATTTCTTTACAGAGAAAATTCTAGAACTAAACTGTCTTTAATAAAGTATGTGGTGATCCTTTGGAGTCAGTTGGTTTAGGTAGCCCCGTTTGTTGATTACTGCGAGGTATTGGTAAGGTGCTGCTTTTGAAAGACTGGCTTTCCTGATATAACAGAGAACCACAGCGACACTTGACTAGACTGTAAAGGTAATCTAGCCTCGCAAGCCGCTGTTCCACGTAAGCTTACACCAACTTAGGTTAAACAACCGTGTTCGGCGGAGCTAATCTCGTGAACATTCGGATTTCGGGAAACAACTGGATCTGTCAGGATTAGGGATTATCGCTTATAAAAATCTCACCTAGAAGGCGTATGGCGCTAATCTTTGATCATTTAGGATCATCTGTGATTGGTTACACTAACGTGGTAATACTTAAGGAATGATGCACATAGTTCACCAGTATCAGGTGGCTGTAAGTCGCTGTAGTATGGGTAGGGAGGAACACTTATATTAGGCCCCTGTATTGCCGAAGGGCCCACTGATACTTCAGAACTGTATTGTTGTCCTGGCGGACTATAATGATAATCACAATATCGAACACCCGATTCTGTATAAACTGCCGGGCAGGAAAAAACACGCCTGAATGTTTGATTGGTCTCAAACATTACTAATGTTATCAAAACGTTACCAGGATGAAACAGACGCCAAAACGCTGCAAAACATACGGCCTGAAACGACGTAAACTTAAGGCCCGAAACGCTGTAAACTGAAGGTCCGAAACGCTGTAAACTTAAGGTCCGAAACACCGTAAACTTAAGGTCCAAAACACTGTAAACTTAAGGTCCGAAACACTGTAAACTTAAGGTCCGAAACACTGTAAACTTAAGGTCCGAAACACTGTAAACTTAAGGTCCGAAACGCTGTAAACTTAAGGTCCGAAACGTTGTAAACTTAAGGTCCGAAACGCTGTAAACTTAAGGTCCGAAACACTGTAAACTTAAGGTCCGAAACACTGTAAACTTAAGGTCCGAAACGCTGCAAATATAAGGTCCGAAACGCTGTAAACTTAAGGTCCGAAACACTGTTAACCTAAGGTCCGAAACGCTGTAAACTTAAGGTCCATATCCAAAACATGAAGATCGAATGACCATTCTGGTTTTGTTTCACCTTTAGCCAGCAGAACACCTGGGTCCATACTTTCTTTTACCAGGCATGTTAGCCAAATTAGCCATATGAAATTATATGGATATCCCTAACATTATGTTGGAACATAGGTTTACTCTGTACATTATTCGGGAGCCTGTCATTCCGCACAGTTTCGGTGAGTGAGTGAGTGACTATTGATGTTTCGGACACACCTGGCGAACAGTGATCGATGTCAGTGTAAACTGGCAACCGACCGCGATACCTGCTACATGGCTGGTCATAGCTTGTTACGATGCATGTAAGATGCAAACAGTGTCATATGCTATACTTTCCCCAACAAATGAGTTTGGGACATAGTTAAAACCAATACTGTAAGTGTCAATGAAAGCTATCATTAGCATTACATGAGGTGACACGCTTAGCCTAATCATCTTAGAAATTCGCCCTGCAGAGTTCCGTCCCTTAGGCATGCGGGAGTTGTGGTGGCGGGTTCGAATCCCGTCTTTTTTGGTTGATATTGTTTTCAGGTTTGTCAGCATTATACCCTGGCTCCAAGTCTACAGTTATACGTGTAACACCTGCATCATTTGGACCTTTTATCGCTCATATTATCACAGAAATATTGGTCAAAGTTAAAACAACGAATCCATCTGGAGAAGTTTACTGAACCATCACCAACATACGTCAGTTGTCAGTTATATGATCTGTATACATACACTGAATATTATTTGGTATTAAGATCATCTTAATCCAGCGCCAACCCTTTGTTAATCAATGTGTTTAATCCCATCCTTTCCTAATAGGAATTAATCCACGCTATTGTTGAATCTGTCGAGTTTTGTTACTTACACAGAACATATGGTTTTACGGAAAGTATGTTTGCTTCAGTGCCCTGATATACTTACAAACAACGACAGTATTCGCTATGATAATCTGGCTTTAAAACATAGGGTATTTTGCCTCGAGGTCTGTGCGCGTTCAGCTACCGTCTGACACAGTATGCTGATGTATTTGTTACCAATAGTGTCTCCGCTAATAAGATTTGCCAGTTTTAAATTAATCTGCATCAACTTGTGACACGAATTTGGGTCCCTGATTTCAATAAAGCACGGTTTGGGTGTTATCTTATGCAAAATGCCAGTTAAAGTTAGCATTACCAGTTGAGCGCGTAATCCAGCGCTCACTTAAGATGGAGTTATCAGTCGAGTTGTTGTGCCGATAGCGATTGAAGTATAGTATCTTTTAATTCGTATCGATGTATACACTTACGAAACTATTTTTATAAACATGCAAATGCAGAAAAGTAAATGTAATCACTGAATTATTAAAAATACAGCTAAAATGGTATCTTTTATTCAAACACAGCCAAATTTTGTTCTTAAAGTAAATATCAATTTCAGTTATAACAAAGAAACTTAAAAGACAATATTTTTCATAATCGTTAACATGTTATTATTATTCCAAATATTTTACTTCTTATAACTCTAAGGAGTGCCTGAATTTCTTTTAATTTGAGCGATATGCGTGGTTGTTTTTGTACACCTTGGCGGCACGAAACAGCTTTGTGATGAACTAATTATTGTAGTCTTTCCCAATGGTATAAGGGAGTAGGATGTAGGTGTCAGTGACTACTACTACTACTACTACGACTACTACTACTACTACTGTTGCTGCTGCTGCTGCTTCTACTACTACTAAGCATAGAAACTACTAATAATTAGAAGAAGAATAAGCTTAGGAAGGAGTTCATGTCCGTGCTTTTAAAAAATCATTTACACCTAATTTATACATCGTATTTAATACATAATTTACAAGTACAATTCATCTTGCCATGTGAGGCCTCAAAGACACCATTCTTCATTTCATACCTTCAAATATTGAATTGTTTCATGCGCAGATATCTACTAACAGGTCTTTTTTCAAAGTCGGTTAGTGGGGAAGCACCAGAAAGATAATATAAATTACAAGAATAAAATACAGCTGAAACAAATATTAATGTTATTTTCCCTACCAAGCATAACTTTATTCAAACAAAGACGGGCTAAAATATACGGAGGCATCAGTAGATCCGTGCTCATCAACCAATCAAATCATTCGGTTTCCTGATGGGCAGCGGTTCACGGGTGTCCATCGCCGTTAAAAGGAGCAACGCTGAATTTGATTGGTCACGGTCTCGCCTCTCATTGGCCGAGCCTCAACACCCGCCGTTCTGTAGTGAGAATAAGGTAGATACTTTGGATTAGGGGTTGCAGATTTAGGTGAGCGGTTTAACTGTACACAACACATCACAGCTAATCCGATATGCCCAAATCATTCCTAATGAGCGGCAAGAGAAAGAAACTACTGGAGGTTTTGTACAAGGAACAAGAAGGTAAGAATATGCCCCTTTTACATATTTGTATTTTGAAAATACACAATTCTACACTTCAATAATGGTAAAAGTTCCCTTTCGACAGTTAGGAGAGAGTCCGATGTTCTGATTGGATCGACATCAAATGGTCGCACTTTCCGTGAGATCTGAACGTCAGTCTGCTCAAAACCGGTATTGGAGTTGTGCGGCATCCTGTCCATATCGACATCAGTATATTCAGACGCTTGGATACAAACGGAAACAACTGTCCCGCATATACCTGTACCCCCGGACACCCGACTTTTGTTTCATATATCTCCCATGTATCTTTCGGAAATGGCGCCAATATATGACATTGATCTAACTTTGCTTGCCCCCTATGGTGGCTAAAACTGAATGATATCCCACGATACAAAGAAGAAGACCGAAAAATTGAAAGGGTAGTAAGAAGCTACGGAGACGGAGGAGCTACAAAATACATAACTCGATAATCCATTTGTGTAATTCCGGTTTGTGTAATTTCAATATTGGCCTGTCCCATTGAGAAGAATTATTTTTATATAGATTTGAAAGGTATACAATTTTCATGAATAACTACTTTGTATGTAAATGTTATTGCTTATCATTGTTCCAGGCGTGTGTACGCATTGTGGTTAAAATAAAGCTCTGAGTGGGGCGAAGTCTGTTAAACGGATATGATTGATGCGATGTAACCACTTCTCTGAACACTAACGTTACACGATTATGATGATTTCCGATCTCTCGGCTGTGTATCACACAGAGGGCTTTGGTATTGTTTCAGTCATAGAGTGAGAGCTTCATTTAGGAGAAAACATTGTCCTAAACACCAATTACAATCGGTACTTCACAAATAAAGCCCCTGTTCTTTCTTCTAGTACCAGAGGACGAATCAGAGACGTCTTCCGTCGACTCCTGTGGCGACAGCGGCGTCGCCGACAGCATGGCATGTTCTGACACATCTACGTCACCTGAACATCAACGCGACGACAAGGTGTCATCACCTCTGAACCTGTCCGAGAGGTCAGCATTCGAGAGCCGATTCTAAGATATAACACGACCTCCACGCACAGTAAGCTAACACCGGAAGTAGCTTACGGCCAGATGTACCCCCATCCAATGTTCAGAACCCTTCAGAAGACAGACGCTCATTCGACTCCACCTCTTCAGATGTACCCATCACCAGCATTCGCAATCTCTTCTTCTCCCTTACCCACTGTCTGTGTTAAAGGAGTCCCTAGTGATCCGACATGTCCTTGGACAACTGTTGACACCAGCATTCCATTTACAACATACCTCATGAACCTTTCAAAGCTTCTTCAGAAATCGCCCAGAAATGAAGACAACTCTGAATCTGATGACTGCAAATCTGAAATAGACTGTACACCTCAAAGAAATGACAATAAAAGTAAACATGACTATGACGTTCAGAAACTCAGACAACCGGACACCGAAGTAATGAGTGCCCACATGCCCGGGGTAGCTTCAGTGATGAAGCGTGATCTGACTCCAGAGCAGCACACCCCTTACGGAAGGCTGTACCCAAAGTCTCATCGACATTTCCCTTTGGGCGGGTGACACATGGGGTGGGTGGACTGCACCCGGCGTTCTTACAGTTGGAGGGACTGCACCATCGGCGGACCCACACAGACAAGCCCCCACCGGTCAAGAAGTACAAATGTGACACGTGCGGCAAGTCGTTCTCAAGGAGCAACACACTCGTCACTCACAAGGTACGTACATGTAGTTACTTTTGCAGAAACATTACACGCATTTAGACGCCGCACTTAGCAATATTCCAGCTATATGGCAGCGGTTTGTAAATAATCGAGTCTGGATCACACACTCCAGTGATCAACAACATGAGCATCGATCTACGCAACTGAGATACGGTAACATGTGTCAACCAAGTCTGCGAGCCTGACCACCCGATCCCGTTTGTAGCCTCTTTACGACAAGCATGGGTTACTGAAGATCAATTCTAACCCGGATCTTGACTGGTCTGTCAGTTAGTGGTTTGTAACACCATGTATATACAGATCATTCCATGAAACTAGGTCCCAGTATGTCAACTGTGCATTTTCAAAGTAAGCAGTTTAACGAAGAAAGAAAACCAGAATCGGTGAATGAGTGATACATTAAATTTGATGATAACAAATTCAAACATGTCAACGTCATGGTTATACGATGTGCTTATCATAGGTTGATTCAGATGTTGTCGAATTCATTGAACACGGGACTATTTGTTTTCAGCGCATTCACACAGGTGACAAACCCTTCAAATGTGAGCAGTGTGGTCGAGCGTTCCGCCAGCCAGGCAATCTGACACGCCATCGTTTGACCCATACGACCTTCAAGCCGTACGTGTGCGCCACGTGCAACAAGGCCTTCAACAGAGCCTCCAACCTTCACACGCACATGCGCACTCACACTAACTACAAGCCCTTCCTGTGCCCGTACTGCGGGAAGGGATTCCACCAGAAGATCGACATGAAGATACACTGTTACACACATACAGGTAAAACAGGCCACAGGCCATAGTGAAAACCTATTGTAAAGTGAGTGAGGAGTGAGTTTAGGTTTACGCCGCTCTCAGCAATATTCCAGCTATATGGCGGCGGTCTGTAAATTATGGAGTCTGGACCAGACAATTCCAGTGATCAACAGCATGAGCATCGATCTGCGCAATTGGGAACCAATGACATGTGTCAATCAAGTCAGCGAGCCTGGCCACCCGATCCCGTTAGTCGCCTCTTACGACAAGCATGGGTTACTGAAGATCAAATATTCTAACCCGGACCTTCTCGGGTTATGTATTGTAAAGGAATGATTGCATTGCTCCCCGTATTTATCGTTAATGTATTTAGTCACAGCACATTCTCTATATTTCCTGGGCTTGCCTTTGGTAAACTCTACACTTACCCTGGTTCGACTTCCTTGGTTCTTGCAATCGAGAATTACCCGCGCTTCAGTTTCATTAACACCTTGCTGACCAATCAAACGTCGACATGAGGGAAGGGCACGGCAGGTAACTCTTACTGCATAGACGCCACCTCCGCCAGTTTTAACGAACCTAAAGACATCCATTTCAGGATAAAACGATTTATGAGGGTTTCTTCTGCGTGTTTGTCAGATTTTCATCGGTGAATTTCTCTCAATTTCGATCATAATCATAAAGGACCGTGAGCCGTGTGGTTGACATTGAAAGTGAGTTGTAATTCGCATTCTCATTGCCACCTTAGACCTAGTTGCGTAGCCAGATTTATGCTGGCAAAATGGTAATCAAGGGCAAGTAATTTGAGAATGCCAGAACCAATTCGAATGGACCCAGGACCTGTATTTTCGAAGCTCTCCTAGTGCCATACATAAACATTAACATACGACTATCTTAGCTCTAAGGGTGCTTCGAAAATCTAGGCCCAAGAGTTTAGTCTGCTGTACCGAAATGCGAGGCCCAGACAAACCAGTGTTCTTTTGTTACCTTCCTTTTCCGTGGCTCAGTGTTTTTTTCGTTCAAACATTACAGAATTTTCTTCCTTATTGTTGATTTATCCTAAGTTTGTATATTCGATTCATCTCGTGATTTTCGATTTCCCAAAACCGTTTTGTACTTCATGTGACGCTGTATTGTTGGTTTGTTTAGGTGAACGGCCTCACAAGTGTGACATCTGCGGTAAAGGGTTCACTCTGGCCAGTACCCCGACTGCTCATCGACGCTCGCACGTGCTGGAGAACACACGTGGAAATACGCATGCGCGGGAACAAACAGTCATGTGTCAGTTGTGTGGAGCAGGTTTTCTGCACCAATCGGAGTTGACAACTCACATTATGACGTCACACCAGAATCACATCCCAGTTCCAGTGTGAGATGTGGGTTACCAAGACCAACGAAGAGTAACCACTAATGCTATATGTTCTCAGATTCATGCTTTTGGCGGAATGGTGTTTCTACTAGAAAAACGAATATTTAAGAAAATCATTGCAGAAAATCATGTTTGAATGTCTGTGCATGTGAAGTATTTATTGCCTGTGCTATTAACCTGCAACTGTTCATATGTACGGGGTTTGTGTTATATACGGATACTAATTCCCTTGTAGAACTGTTAGTAATTTATTTTCATCTATCCATCAATAAACATTCTTTCTTCCTGTTCCTGGTCGCCATTATTGTGTTTCAAAGTCTGTTAGGCCATGCCCGCGCTCCTTGTTTTCATCAAACTGGTATACGTTGGAGGTGAGCATCCCTTCCCCATTGCGATCACACGAAACGCAGTTCAAAGCATCCTATATAGCTCCAAGCATTTCGGTAAACCTACACAAACTCCTTGATCCATTCCCGTGGCTCTCAATGTCCAGTTACGCATCCTTGATTTCCATTTGCCAACTTCACTGGCTACGCTACTTGGTCTAATGTGCCAATGACAATGCACGTTTCAAACCTGGCTCAAAGTTGGGTTGGTAATATGTAGCTGACAGTCCCACTGACTATGATCGACTTTGCGAGAAATTTAATATTGAAAAACCGCCAATTTGATGATAAGGATGTCTTCTTGATGCCATTAAAACTTCGTTTCTTCGTAATACGAGTTACCTCCCCTACCATTTCAAAGAGTCGACGTTTGATTGGTCGCAAAAGTGTTAATAAGGCAGAAAGGCGGGTAATTTGCGAAGACGGATAGGCCAATGGTTCAGTGTACGTTTACGAAAAATGCGAGCTGTGGAGACTCAGGATTTGTTCACAAGGTTAAAGCTCAGACACAGTCCTCCAGGTGTTTGCATGGCCCAAAGCCTTTTGGTCGTTTAGAAAACAGCCCATTCCTTCCATAACCTCTTGTCATGTTTCCCATTCCGAAGACCCGGGTCGATTCCTCACATGGGTGAAATGTGTAGCCCATTTCTGGTGTCCCCCGCCGTGATATTGCTGTAATATTGCTAAAAGCGGCGTATTATCAAACTCACTCACGCTTGATCATGATCTTCGGTGGTAAGAATATTACCAAGGCGTAAATATGCATGGAAAATATTATAGTTTATAGTTTAATGTAATCTGATGTTAGCAATATCTTATGTTAGTAATATGGAAACACGTGGCTAAAATGTCTATAACTGAAGCAAAGAACAACTATATATTTTAAACAAAAAGTTTTACATATTCTGGGGTTTTCAGTTCTCAACTGCAGCTGTTTTTTCCGAATTCGCCGCGTTATTTTAAAGAAACAAAACTAACAGTAGTGTGAATGTCTCTCGCTTATGTTCCAGTGGCACAAGCCTGGCGTTCAAATCCTAGCCTTTATCTTATCGTGATACGCAGATATTAAATCTTGTATGGAATGACGAATGTGTTTCGAGGGGCGTATTGTGACAGTTCGCCTATCGTGAGAGTAACGCCCTTTGAAACCTCGCCTGTACATAAGTAATCCATTCCACATCGATCTTGCAGAATGACATTGTCAATCAACTGTTAGGTCAAATGACCACAGGAGAAGATGGATGGCTCTTTTCTTGTGTTTGCACGTGGTAGATTTGCACGGACGACACAGACAACCGTTAGGGACTCACAGACACCGCACGACATTTTGTCGAAGGATGATAGGACTTTGCTATTGGTAATTCAACCTCGATGGTGATTGAAATTTGTTCATGATCACCGGCTTCGAATCCGGTTTTTAAAAATATGTTGACGTTGGAAACCAAATGGAAATATTTACTCACAGTGATATGTTCGTTTGCTGTTAGACGCCGCACGCTTCAGTGTTCAAGCTATATGATGGCGGTCTGTATATGATCGAGTCTGGACCAAATGATCCAATGATTGACATCACATATTTCAGGGGCGTTGACGAGCGCGGTTATCTAGACTCTTCCGAAGACGTATTTCGAAACCATTGTTACAAAGATTTTGTATGCTGGTTCTGTGATAAAAAGCCGCTCTGTTATGAGTGAGAGTTATGCTTATATTGTTTATTGTGTGAGAGTTCAGGAGAATAACATTCAGCTTATTGTTTCCAGGCATAGGTGATTAGTGCAGTTGTATGATTGCATGCGACTGCAATTGCATAGACTAATGAGTGATATTGATATAGACAAAGGCTGATTTTATAGAAAGGATATTGCATATTTCATTAAAATATATTGAAGTACAATATTATCTAATATATCCTGTCTGAATATTTTCCTGCTTTATGACATACTGTCACATATACATTGTTAGGATTTCCCTGCTTTAAGGCGAATCGTGCAATATGAAACCTGCTTTCTGGCCCCCATGTAGCTCACCATATATTGCTGAGTGTGGCGTTAAACAACAAACAAACAAGTAGAAATGTTGAACCAGTAGAAGGAAGGATGACCCAACCGAATCCCTTTAGGCCAGGCTTGAATTAGCACATGGTCTAAAAAGACCTCCTTGGCTCAGTTAACAGCGAGGTTTGGATATTTGTTCTCTACTGCAGATTACGGGTTCAGTCCCCCAGGTCTGTGTACACTGACTTGGTTGCCAAGGTTTCTGTCAAACGCACAAAGGTCTTAAGTGCACAGAAATCATAAATAAACATGAGTGGGCGGAGCTTATGTGACCACGTCATACGTGTTTCGTACGCACTTCTTCTCTCTTGAACACGGAAGTATCTTTACTTCTGTTGAGTCGTGTAAAGTTGAATAGCGTGTAATGAGGGTGCATTTTCCCCTACAACATAACAAAAACAGCATTTCCTTCCATACTACCATTTATAAATATGAAAGAAAATATAGCAATACTCAAATGTTTGTTAAAAGTTCGATCGAAAATTTGCAAGGGACCGTTCATAATGTATAGCTGGGCTGGGATCGAGTGATGATAATTTTTATGGAGAAGCACATACAATGTGAATAACAGTCCCACCCCACCCCTCTTCCTTCATGAAAACACACCAAGTGCATGTATACAAAATTGATGACACCCCTCCCCCTCTCTCTCTCTCTCTCTGTTATGTATCATTGTCTCAAAGAGTTTGACAGAGGAAGGGATTGTTATGTGTCACCCACATTCTAGATGATTGTTGATCAATCTGTTAAGTCATAATTGCACTTTACTTTAATCAATCAGTACATTGATAAACTGTAGAATAAATATATAATACATCTTCCTCATGACAGAGCCTGTTTTGTTACCACTATGCACACAGGATGAGTGTGTAACTTTAGAAAATTTGAGAGAGTGTGAATTCTACTCTTTTAGGTGGGGTCGGGGTAGCCTAGTGGTTAAAGTGTTCTCTCATCATGCCAAAGGCCCAGGTTCGATTCCCCACATCGGTACAATGTTTCAAGTCCATTTCTGGTGTCTTCTTCCATAATATTGGAATATTGCTAAAAGTGGTGTAAACCCATACTCAGTCTTTTAGCAGGGTGGAGGGTTGTCTGCAGGTCTTCCCTGTTGGAACTGAATTTGGTGTTTGGTAATCAATTCTTGGGTTATGTGCCATGTTCTTTATCAATAAGGCCAGACCAATGTATTTCTTGTTTTACATATTTTTGTCCATTTTTGACCAATAAAAACATTAGGATTTTATTTTTTGAGTGGGAAAAATTCACTTTTATTTCTTTTCGTATTCTTGAAAAAATACAACTGGAGGATACATAAAACAAGAAATAGAATTGGTCTGGTCTAAACTTGAAATATAGGTGTGCTTATACAGTATGCATGAGAAGCAATGTACAAGGACACCTTTAGCACAGTTTACTAAAGGTAAAAGATGCAAATGTGTTATGTGATTTTTAAGTTTAAACATTTGGGACATCTTTGAAATAGTGTGAAATGAGAGATAGTTGGTTATGATGCCTCTATCAGTATCATACCAGTCACATCCCAATCAAGGGCATCAACTTTATATATTTGCATTGGGGTAGGGAGTCAAACCAATGCCTGTGGCGTCACATAAGTTTATGCAGCTGAACATAGACAAGCATGTGCAAGGTGAACATGTCACAGTGGACTTTTTCTGTCCAAGTATAGACATCCATCAAAACATGCATGGTGTTAGTTGTTTGTGTATTCAGAAATGTTGTAGAGCATCAGCTGACCAGATAAAAACTGACCATTGTCAGATTTCCCCATAAAATGACAAAAAGAAATGAGTTTTGTTAAAGATGTTTTATTACTAAAATACAGAGCAGCCTGTCTTGAAATGGGACAGGCTAGAAGAATACTATGAAATGTAATTATATGTAGTACCGAACTCATTAAGTTGGTTCACACACATATCTTTATGTCTATTGAAAAGACTCTTACAAACAATTGAAGTAATGCCATTGGCTCACCAACATGAAATGTGTAAATACGTGGAGGTTACATGTATATGGCATTGAACATTACACCCATCATATTTGTTAAAATATAAACTAGTAAACAAACCAAGGTAGCTATTTGAAAATACTTTCATAAAGAGAAGCATCCCCCTACATCCCATTCCTTAAAGTATTTTCAAGTGTTACAAGAATAATTTAAAACCATACAACTGATTAAAATCCAACAATAACCAAGTCTATGATATAAATACAAGTATTACAGTCACATTTCACAATCATCTCGGGGGAGGGTGGGGTGTGGGGTGTGTGGTTTTTTAGCCTATAGCTAGTGGTTAAAATGTTCGCTCATCACCCAGAAGACCCTGTTTTGATTCCCCACATGGGTACAGCCCATTTCTGGTGTCCCCCGTTGTGATATTGCTGGAATATTGCTAAAAGTGGTGTAAAACCATACTCACTCACAATCACCTCAAATGTCACCTTGAATGTTGACATAGCACTAACATTAAACATGGCAGTAATTATAACCAGACATGAAAATAAGGAATACCTTGCATCATATATGAGTAAAAATAAGTGAAACATGTTTTACAGCTACATGAACACTGACATCAACTTTAATGATCATGACCAAAACCTTCAAAGAACAGGGTATCCATTCGAAAGGAGAAGGCACATGTCATGTTTAATTATGCATGTGTGAATTCCTTCTTAGAACCTGTGTTGTCTTTTACCAAAACAATTCCCCAGGACTAATGAAGAATAATCTCATTAATCTTTGTGTTGTAGTCATTACGGAAACAACACTGTTTCAGTGGGCTGCACATCTTGTTTATAAATTATTACCTTTATCAAATGATTTGGTATGAACTCATGATAGGTAACTACATTTAACATAATGTCCTCCAGAAACAAAATCTGGCAAAATCTGGAGCAACAAAAACTGACAAAGCTGAATATTTCAAGATGGGGGAATTTTCTTTTTTCTAAGACTAACAGCATACACATTAAATATTTAGATGTAACATCACATGTCATACATTATTCACATATCATGAATTACACATATAAAACTTCCTTCGTTCTGGCAAAGGGCAACAGTTTTACATGCCTTCCATGGCAGACATGCAGAGACTTAGTTGCCAGTATGTCCAGCCTTAATTAAGTACTAACTATCACAAAAGTAATATAACAGCCAGTATCATGAAATACAAGAAATATGGCATAACTTTACTATTCCATTGTTTACTACATGCCACATATACTAATATCAAACCATCAAACTATATCAAATCATACTTATAAATCACATTGTCATGCAGTGTAAAAAAAAATGTCACTGAAAAGGTGGTCCAATTGTTCAGCAGGACAATAAGCACAAATGGGGAACAGAAAAGCACAAAATGTTTGTGTGGGAAAATTAATGGAAACTTCTGTTCTGCTGGCAAAATAAATAAAAATTCTTGTTGAGACTATTTTACTGCTTCAAAACAGAAGTTCCTTAATTTGTCTCCATTATGGAGGTGTTACTCAGCTGACATCAGAATGCCAGAACAATTATCAAAATACATCAAACAAATCAGTAAACTGCATAATGAATGCACTTGAATCATTCCTGTAGTCCATCAAGATAACTGTCATCACTTGTCATCTACAGTGATGGGGACACCTCTTCCTGGTACTTGGTCAGCATCATATTCTGTTGATTTGCATTCCGGTTAACCTCTTGAGGTAATATGTGGCTGCTCTGAAGTACAAAAAGATAGAAGTGTTTATATTTATATTGAACAATTTTTATGGATAACAACTTCTTTTATTTTATAAGTATGACGTTTTGATAAGATTCTTGTACCATTGTGAACGAATGCTTGGACAAGGTGAACTACCATACATGTATATCATGTACCTGCATCACAATATTTGGTCATATTTGGGAAACTGTGTTATACATCAACCGAGATACATTAACTCAGTTAATGTTTTATGCTTGTTAAAAAATAGCAACAGTCAGTTTCAATGAGATAATAATAGCATTAGCAAGCTAATTTTCTTTTGGCAGTACAACCTTAAGTCCAACAAAAATCACAAGGGGGAGGAGGGAGAGGAGTTTGATGATTTTTATGGAGAAGCATGTACAATCTGAGTAACTTAAAATTTATGTACAATGGAAGTGACCCCCCTCCCATGTACAAATACAATTATGCCCCCTCCCCTCCCTCGCCTTCACATTAATTTGTATATTTATAATTTAAATATAATTATGTACAAAATTGCTGCCCTGCCTGAGTACATGTGTACAAAATGCACGACTACCCCTACCTCCCAGAAGAAAATGGGTGACCCCTCCCCTTAAAATCATCACCACCCCCACCCCTCAAAATCAATCAATCAATCAATCAATCAATCAATCAATCAATCAATCAATCAATCAATCAATCAATCAATCAATCAATCAATCAATCAATCAATCAATCAATCAATAAATAAATAAAATAAATAAATAAATAAATAAATAAATAAATAAACATCTGTGCATAAAACAAGCATCACCCTCTATTTCTACCAATTAATTTCGTCTGAAATAAAATTCTCAACTCTTTCGAAAAAATAACCTTTATGATTTGATAGAGCAAGCATTTAACATTTCAAAGCGAAAACATCATTGAATTTTGATTAGGATAATTGCCCATATTAAAAACAGGTGTTTTGAAAAGTGAAAGTAATAATTGATTGTTGTGTGGCCTATACATTCGTTATTTATTGTGAATGGATGAAAGTTTGTAAACTAAGATTTAGAAAAAGTTACAGTCAAACTAAAAAAAAGGCAAATTTTAAAATGCAGTAAAAGTTGCTTTACAAACAAAACAAACAGATTTTAGCTGTAATTATCAGTATCCGGCAAGGGGAAGTGTTTATTCATTACAATAAACTCAAAATCATAAAACATTTATTCCAAAATCTTATTAATGTGGCCTTTTTCAGTTTTGTCAATTAGCAATCTGAATTGTTGGAAAGATGTCTGAATCTTTGACATTCGGATTCTTCCTGATTATGCGTAATTAAAGCTTACTTGATGTGTAAATGTCATCTTGGTATATAACTGAATTGTTATTCTTAGTCAAAACGTAATTCAATTGTGTAGTTTGAGCAGGAGAGGAATAATTATTTTGGATAAAATTTCAGTCCAATCACATTTTAATCAACATATTCTTTCATAATTGATGGCTATACCCTAACTTAAATAAGCATCAATCTTATTTTCAAAATAAATAAATAAATAAATAAATAAATAAATAAATAAATAAATAAATAAATAAATAAATAAATAAATAAATGAAATAAATAAATAAATAAATAAATAAATAAATAAATAAATAAATAAATAAATAAATAAATAAAATGTAACAAAAGCCATAAATAATGAACGTTCCCTTAAATGGACATTACATTACCCTAATTTTTCTGAAGCATCACAATGAATAAATAAATAAATAAATAAAAAAATAAATAAATAAATAAATGATAAAAAAATAAAATGTAACAAAAGCCATAAATAATGAACGTTCCCTTAAATGGACATTACATTACCCTACCTTTTCTGAAGCACAATGAATAAATAAACAGACAAACAGACAGACAGACAGACACACACACACAGACACACACACCCAGACAGAGACAGGCACACACAGACAGAGGCAGACACACACATACAGACACACACACACACACACACACACACACACACACACACACAGACACACACACAGACAGACAGACACACACAGACAGAGGCAGACACACACACACACAGAGACAGACACAAACAAACAAAGAAACACACACAAACACACACACACACAAACAAACACACACACAAACAAACAAACACACAAAACAAACAAACAAACAAACACACAAATAAATAAATAAATAAATAAAATAAAGCAATGTAACAAAAGCCATAAATAATGAACGTTCCCTTAAATGGACATTACATATCCACTTTTTTCTATTCTGCACCAAGATGTAACATGTTGCATCATGTTTCTTTTACAAATGTTTCCAAACTGATCTCATTTTGGTGGTTTTGAGACAGTGCAATAGATATGCAGTTAGCTGCCCTTCTTGTTCCAAATTTCAACATCACAAAATGAGGCCTATAGCTCCAGTTCTTTTACAGTTTGTACCTTCTAGTATCCCCCCCCCACATACACATTTTCATGAGTATCACAAATATTCTTCAATGTATGTACAAATGTAGCATTTATCAACTGAGACAATAAACCATTTCAGAAAAATGAATGATGTGACAAAATGCCATATCTGAAGCCAAATGAGAAACTGACACAACCTCATACTTAGCATTTACATACCAAATTATGATTCATCTTGAGTTTATTAGTCCCATATACTATACCCATCAGCTAATACCTTTCTTGGTGTCATCACATCTACTCTTGTTTGGAGTCTGTTCTCCCCTTCCTGAAAAGTAAAATTATTTATCACCAAGTGCAAACATGTTCCTTTAGCATAAAGCAATGCTTACCATTATAATATTTCTTAAAAGTGTCTCAAATTGTAATAACCTTTTTTGTCATGGGTTTCTCCTTCTTTTGCATCTGACAATGAGTCTGTTAGGACAATACATGTGAAAAAATATGATATTTTACCTACTTTGGTACAAATCCAGGCATCAGCAATGTTTTCATTTCAGGGTACATATAAGAGTGAGTAGGTGAGTTAAGTTTTACGCCACACTCAGCACTATTCCAGCTATATGGCAGCGGTCTCTGAATAATCGAGTCTGTACAAGACAACCCAGTGATCAACAGCATGAGCATCGATCTACCCAATTGGGATAAGATGACGTGTCAACCAAGTCAGCAAACCTGACCACCTGATCCTGTTAGTCGCCTCTTACGACAAGCATGGGTTACTGAAGATCAATTCTAACCTGTATCTTCATGGGTTCATATAAGAGTGGATCATTGTAAATGGTTAAATATGTACTGTTTCTTTGTTGGCTCTAGAAATTGCAAAATATCAACAAATGCTTCATCACACACAAATTACCTCTTGCATTTAGGCACTATATACCATCCATACCTGTGCTGACCATGAACTTGTTTAAACAGTGATGATTTTATTTACCACTAAGTTACCATCAACCAATGTTCATCCAGTGACATAAAAATCAGTCGAGTGCAATTTTTTGTTATTAGAAATTTACCTATGAGAGAGAGAGAGAGAGAGAGAGAGAGAGAGAGAGAGAGAGAGAGAGAGAGAGAGAGAGAGAGAGAGAGAGAGAGAGAGAGAGAGAGAGAGAGAGAGAGAGAGAGAGATTCCTATTTGAAATCGATGGCAATAACACATTCTTTAAATAAAACAACTATTTGACACAATCCAGCTTGATCATATAACCTCGGGAACATTGATAAGAAAGGTTACTGTCATAAAAACATTAGCCCTCTCAAAAGTAGTACATATTTTAAGCTCATTGCCTAATCCTCCAGATCGCTTTAGCAAGTTTCTTGAAAAGATACTTTTCAAATTCATTTGGAATGGTAATAATGATAAAATAAAAAGAATCACAATGAAAAGATTAAAGGCTGAAGGGGGACTGGGTATGGTTGATATAAAAACATTTATTGAAGCTCTAAAATTATCCACTCTTAGACAATAATTACTGTAAAAAATAATCCAACAATAATCCTTTTAATATACCTTATAATGATATCTTCAAGTATGGAGCAAATATTCACAAAATACTTAACATTGAAAACCCTTATTGGAAAGATGTTTAAAAGCATGGAACAATTATTGCAAAAAGGTTAATGGTGATTCTGACAATACTGATCACATTCTTGCACAACCATTATGGCTCAATCATAATCATAAAAACACTTATATTAGACACTGGGCGGATAAGGGTTTATTGACAGTAAAAGATGTATGTGATGAGCATGGATTTATGCCTTTTGATAAGTTAAAGATACAATACAAAATAAGAGGGACACAATTAGACTATAACTATCTACTTCAAATCTGACCTGATATTTGGAAAAATGTTATTAAAAATACAGTTATCATTCCTTCCTACAATTCATACATCAATGTTTACCAAAGAATTGAAAATTTTATAATAAATTGTATATTTATATACTTATCCTATCTCACGGTATGCACCATCTCTCTCTTCTACGACCATGTGTGGAAACGTGCTGTCAGCTAAGTTGAGTCAAATCTAACTGGCCTCTGACCCGCCTTGACCTCTGCCTTCACCCCGACATCAATGCCTGTCAATCATCCATCAAAGCGTGCGGCTCGCCTAAACGATCACATGACCACCTCTACTTGTCATTCTCGTCTTGGAGCTTCCAGTAATCTGTGATGTGGGGCAGGTCGGGTGGGTCCTAACGCGTGTGATAGGACAAGTATATAAATATACAATTTATAATAAAATTTTCAAATTTTTAAACTTATCCTATCTCACGGTATGCATACTCCCACGGTTGGTAGGCGGGTTGCAGATTACCCGGTTACTACTACCACCGGGAAAACTCATAACTCAAGGAGGCCATGAGAAAGCAACCAACTCCCGATATGCAAACTCCAAACTTGAGATGGTTTTTTTGTTGTTTTTTTGTTGTGTTTTTTTTCAGGTAACCCCTTGGCTTACACAGCACAAAAACTCTAAGGAGTGGGCGCTCCCGAGTTAATGTGGTTTTCAGCCGCAACTTTTGACAAGCAAAAGGACGCAGTTTGGCAAGTAGGCCCCACCACCCCGCGATTTATCAGGTGACCCCAGTGAATTAAAGTCCAGGACCTTAATCTGGACAGTCCCTGCTTCGAAACTATCCCCCACAGACACACGCTGGAAGGCGGTGAAAGAAGGAATAGCCCGGTTGCTCAACTAGTTTAACGTTCAGTACCAATCTCCCTAACTTACCAAAGGTGAGAAAGGACTTAGGAGCAGAACGCTTTGAAAACCATACAGGTAATCGGGATCAACACTTCACTGACGTGATTGCTCAAAGAGTAGAGGTCAGTAAGCGGAATGTCAACCTTCTCTACATGTAGTACAGGACTTGCCTCATAGTCTTCTCGCCATGGTGTGACAGTACCAACACGTCCTAGTTCTCTAGGTGAGAAGGGTCTAGACCCAGGTCAAAAAGTACCAAGATAAGGATAACATCGATATCATTTATTATGTACAGAGCAGAACCGACCGAAGAAGGATTGCTTTATCTGCGAGCACGGGCCGAAGACAGTTGCTGTGCCAGAACCAAGGGGCCGAATTGATGTAGTCCTTCCACATCTGTCAGTGAGAGGTCCCGTAGGTAGTGTGAGGAGAACACAGTATCCGATCTCCAAAAAAACAGCCCTCCATGATGGACTGAAGGGAACAATTCCTGTGAAGAGCCATGGTTGACGCAAGAGCTTGGGTCTCATGAGGCTTGGCCATTGCTGGCGGAGGTAGGTTAGCAAAGGTATAGGCACGCAGGATCGTAGTTCTCATCCCAAAAGCCAAGGTAGTACGGGAGACTTCCAAAGTCGAGGCAGTAGATATTGGGATGAACAGTCTCTTACGTAGTCTTCGACGATCCTGCGAGGCAGCTAGATAAATCCTTTAAGTTTCCTGGAGGTCCGGAGATGTTGAAGATATTCTGCCACCATCTGCGGGGATACCAGTAGGAGACAAGATGCCCTTCTTCCTGCAATAAGCTTCAAAACTTTTCCACTTGTCATCGTAGAGTGACCTGGTAGAAGAACGATGAGCTGTAGTGATGGCAGTGGCAACACGTAAAGAATAACCCATAGCCGTTAATGATTGATGTAGATGCGTCAGCAGAGTCCAATGGAGTTGATCGGAGTGTGGATGAACCAATAGATCGGGTCGATTGGGGAGCGGCACGGGATCTGGTTCGGCTAAGTCTTGAAGATTTATGAACCAACTTTTGGCCGGCCAGTAGGGCGCAACCAAAAGCAGAGTTATCCTTCGAGTTGCATGCAATTTCACCAGAATGCGAGGAAGAAGGGCCACTGGCGGAAACGCGTAAGCGTTCAGATCTTCCCACGGAATGGCCAGAGCATCCAGGTCCCAAGCTAGAAGATCCGGTATTGGTGACACAAACCGAGGTAGCTGATGATTGAACCTCGTGGCAAAGAGATCTACTGTTGGAAAGTCATTGGAAGGCAAAGAGTCTGAAACACCTGGGGATGTAATTTCCATTCCGTTGGAGAGGGACGACTTGGTTGAGACAGAGCATCTGCGATGACATTTTTCACCCCAAGAATGTGGTTGGCCCGCACCAAGATTTTGAGAGAATCCACCAGGTTGAAGAATCGTTGTGTCCACTGTAGAAGCCGTGGAGACCCTGTTGACTCCATTCTGTTGATATGCTACACCACCGCTGCGTTGTCCGATCTGACCATGAGAGAGGTTGATTGTAGAGCATTCTGCCAGTGACTGATTGCTAGAATCACTGCCATGAACTCCAGAATATTGATGTGAGAAGCGTGATCTTCGGAAGATGGGCTACTTCCCTAATCGCCCCGTTGAACAGAGAATTGCCCGACCAGGGTGGGCGAAACAGGTCCGTTCTGAATCTGTCTTCCCAGGATGAAAATTGTAACGGTCCTCTACCCCTCATAGCCGTGACATAGGAGAAGAAATGAGCCAAGAGATCTAGGATGGTTTGGAATTGTTCCTGCAATAACACCATAGCTGCTCGGATGTATGCTTGCTGATGGGTTGTAGCATGTACGACAGACATGACCACCGCTTCAGTAGTTGTCAACATTAAGTTCAATGGAGCCATAATCTTCCTTATGGACGCATCTTAATGTATCAGTTCATGGTCTTCGACCAGAAAGGGCGAATAATCTGTCTGTTTCGTCCCCAACAGCGTGATATCATCATCTACTGGAGGAGAGGCAATCATAGATGACAATCCATGTACATGAGCCGATGCCAAGTTGAAGCGAGGCGCAGCAAAACCATCTTTAATCTTCCTCAAACTAGCAAAAGCCTCATCCAGGGACGCAGTCAGCTGAGTGATGCATGGTCGGGGAGGGAACATGACAGAAGCAAAGTCTCCAGTCTTCAGATCAAAACTGGATAAAATGTCATCCTTTGAAGTACTACGCTGTAACTTGAGGTTATCAGCAATCCAGATAAGTAGCTGAGGTGAGTCAACAGCATCCACACTCACATCCGAAGGAGACATACTTCCTGAAGACATAGACGGCGTTGTTGAACGTAGAATCTCTTGCACAGGCACCGCTGGCGTAGTCGAAATCCCTGATGACTGAGTAACAGGAGATGACACTGGCTCCTGATGCTGTAGCTGATGCTACCACCAACACAAAGGCATCAAAGTCCATAGGTTGAGACGTTGCCCCCTCAGACACTGGATTCCAGGAAACCAGCAAAACAGATCTCGCCGTCGAAACTGTAGCAGAAGGAACTGATGAAATTGTAGCAGCCCCAGAGGGAAGATGAGGTATGTCACGCAGCGAGGATGAACATACAGCTGATTGAGTCACGCCCACATGAGATGATGGCACTTGTGTGGTAAACGCTGAAACCTGAGGAAGCGTTGAACCATGAACCACTCCAGCAGCTTGAGACCGTACCGCACCAGGAACACCATAAGTAAGCGTTGAGCCAGGTGGCCCATAAGTGAAACTCGCAATAGGAATCCCTGGAGTGAGCGTTGATCCAATAACGCTATGAGTAAGCGTCGAACCAGGACGGCCGTGAGCGAGCGCTGAATTAAAAGCAGCATGATGAAGCGTCGAACTAGTAGGGAGCGTCAAACCGGAAACGCCAGGAGCAAATGCCGAACCAGGAGGAAGCGTCGAACCCTGAACACCGGGAGCAAGCGTCGAACCGGGTGGAAGCGCCGAACCAGGATGAAGCGCTGGACCGGGAGTGAGTGCCGCACCAGGAGTCCTAGGAAGGGGGTGCCAAACCGTGAATACCATGAGCAAGCGCCGAGCCAAGACCAACATTAGTGAGTGCCAAACCGGGAATCCTGGGAGGAAGCGCCGAACTAGGAACACCATAAGGAAGCGTCGAACCAGATGCAAGCGTCAAACCAGGACCACTGGGAGGAAACGCAAAACCATGAAGCGCCGAACCGGAGTAAACACTGAACCAGGAATACCAGGGTTAAGCGCCGAACCAGGAGGAAGCGCCGAACCAGGAAAACAAGGGTTAAGCGCCGAACCAGGAGGAAAACAGGAGGAAGCGCCCGAACCGGGAAAGTTAAGCGCGAACCAGGAGGAAGCGCCGAACCGGAAAACAAGGGTTAAGCGCCGAACCAGGAGGAAGCGCCGAACCGGGAAAACAAGGGTTAAGCGCCGAACCAGGAGGAAGCGCCGAACCGGGGAAAACAAGGGTTAAGCGCCGAACCAGGAGGAAGCGCCAAAACCGGGAAACAAGGGTTAAGGGTTAAAGCGCCCAGGAGGAAGCGCGAACCAGGAGGAAGCGCCGAACCAGGAGGAACAAAAGGGTTAAGCGCCGAACCAGGAGGAAGCGCCAAACCGGGAAACAAAGGGTTAAGCGCCGAACCAGGAGGAAGCCGCCGAACCGGGAATACCAAGGGTTAAGCGCCAGCCGAACCAGGAGGCCGAACCGGGGAAAACAAGGGTTAAGCGCCGAACCAGGAGGAAGCGCCGAACCGGGAAAACAAGGGTTAAGCGCCGAACCAGGAGGAAGCGCCAAACCGGGAAAACAAGGGTTAAGCGCCGAACCAGGAGGAAGCGCCAAACCGGAAAACAAGGGTTAAGCGCCGAACCAGGAGGAAGCGCCGAACCGGAAAACAAGGGTTAAAAAACAAGGGTTAAGCGCCGAACCAGGAGGAAGCGCCCGAACCGGGAAAACAAGGGTTAAGCGCCGAACCAGGAGGAAGCGCCAAACCGGGAAACAAGGGTTAAGCGCCGAACCAGGAGGAAGCGCCGAACTGGGAATACCAGGGGTAAGCGTCGCACCGGGAGGAAGTGCCGAACCGGGGAAACAAGGATTAAGCGCCGAACCAGGAGGAAGCGCCAAACCGGGGAAACAAGGGTTAAGCGCCGAACCAGGAGGAAGCGCCGAACCGGGAAAACAAGGGTTAAGCGCCGAACCAGGAGGAAGCGCCGAACCGGGAAAACAAGGGTTAAGTGCCGAACCAGGAGGAAGCGCCGAACCGAGAAAACAAGGGTTAAGGCGCCGAACCAGGAGGAAGCGCCGAACCGGGGAAACAAGGGTTAAGCGCCGAACCAGGAGGAAGCGCCAAACCGGGGAAACAAGGGTTTAGGGCCGAACCAGGAGGAAGCGCCGAACTGGGAATACCAGGGGTAAGCGTCGCACCGGGAGGAAGCGCCGAACTGGTAGTAAGCGCCGAATCCTTCCAAAGCGCCACACTGGAAGAGAGCGGTGCTCTGAGTAGCCACGTGGGATCCGTGACAAGTGGCGCTCTGCCCGTATATAACTGTCTTAATGAGAGTGCCATTCCCGAGGTAAGCGCCGCTCTGGTTGAAAGCGCCACACTGCCTGTAACCGTCACTTGTGATGTAATAGTATGAGTAGTCGCCACCTCCGACCCATTAGGGCGTTGAGTCACATTTACCAACAAGGATGGCCGAGGTTGTATGTCAGATGTAGACAAAACAACAATACGTGGAGGTGACGAATCTTCCAAAGTAATAGAACTAGACGAATGGGGTCAGAACAGTTGAAGCACAGAAAATCTTCTTTAGGAGATTTGGATTTAGAACGTATTGCAGATTTTATTTGGTGATCTAATTTAGAACACTTCAGCTCCAATGGACCTTCCGATGGATTCCTCGGATCTCTATCTGCCTTGCGCCTGCTAGCTACCCGACGATACTCTGAGAATGCATCGTCGTCCAGGTTAGCACATAAACTACAACGTTTTGACCAATCGCATCGTTCATGGCAATCCACGCAAGAGTTATGAGGGTCTGCTGCCGAATTGTTACTATTGCATCTATCACAATGTTTGCGTTTCTTTGAAGTGTGACGATTTGCTTTCCCCATAGTAGAAAACACAAACAAAAAACTCTCTTAAACAGCGTGGCGACAAGAAAGAGAAAGACAAGTAGAGGTGGTCATGTGATCGTTTAGGCGAGCCGCACGCTTTGATGGATGATTGACAGGCATTGATGTCGGGGTGAAGGCAGAGGTCAGGGCGGGTCAGAGGCCAGTTAGATTTGACTTAACTTAGCTGACAGCACGTTTCCACACATGGTCGTAGAAGAGAGAGATGGTGCATACCGTGAGAGATATATTAAAGCCCTCAAAGGGTTCAAGATTACTTAATGACAAGTGTATTTCTAAAAAATGACAAACTTGAGATTTGTACTAAATGGGAAATGATATTCAATGATTGTGAATTTTCAATACACATTTCTGCAAATAGTTATTTATACTAAAATATAATTATTCAAAATGAACCTGACTGACAATGATTTGTCTACCGTTAGTTTGCAATGATGTTTCTGAGAGCAATTGTTGTGCTTGTTAGGACTGTTGTGAAACCATAAAATTCTGGAATGATCTCGAAATCAATTAATGACTATTTACCATGAAAAATAAACATTACAAAATATTTGATTTGGTTTGGTACATTACATAATGATGTATTACTAAATCAAATCATTATCTCTGCCAAAAAAAATATCAATTTATGTAAATTTAAAAAAATCAATTCCAAAATTCATTAAATATAAAATGGCATCAAAAGAGATATTTTCTATTCAAAACTTTATTTTCAAGGGAAACAATGAAATTGATAAATTCAGTCTTAAGTCTCAAATGGAATTCACTCATGCCAATATTCAGCAACAAATTATAATCACATCTTTACACCTTTTCTGTGTTTGTTGTTACTGTATACCTTTGACTATGGGAACAAATAAAAAAAATATATAAAACAACATGGGAATGTTAAGATACAATATGAATACACTTTGTCAAACTGATTTTAAATCATAGCTTTTGTGCAAAGAGTAACAAGAGGGCACAGAAATCTACATCCTTTTCCCTTTCAATGGTGCATAAAATCACCAGAAGTGTAAACATAAGAGAACATACCATTAATCCTAAAGCATTAATGAGCACAAGTTACATAATAATGACTACACCGAAATCTTTCACTCACTCCCTACTCTTAAAGCTTTCAATACCTTGTAATGCCATGAATCAGAAATGGTACCCTGGTACTTTTCAGTGACTGAGTTTTGCATTTTACAGCAAAGACTGAAGTCATAAATTCATAATAATAATAATCATAATAATGTAGCATTCATCAGTCCTTTAATGTTTGTATGACGCTGTACCTTTCTTTTTAATTGACTCTGCATTATAATTAACATCCCAGACTACTCCAGCTGTACCATAAACTAGTTTACCAAGACTGACTACCTCCTGGTCACCTGACTCAACATAGGGATTTTTTCCTGGGGATCTATTTTCACCTATATAGATACAGCACTGTTGTATGACATGGGATAACAGATGTGCCCACTTGCCTTATTAAATGCTAAATCTAAAAATTCAACAGTGCCCCTGCATACAGTTCAGATTGCTCCTCTTCACAGCAAGAATAGGCATCAACTGAATTCCAAGCTTTTCCTCAACAAACTGTTGATCTGGACTGGGGGGCAACCCAACATGGGATGGGATGGTGAACAACCTGTAAACATATGAAGTTATTTATACACACAAACATTTGTTTTTAATGCCATAATATAAATAATAACTGCATCCAGGTGCTGATGTTTTCTGAGTAACCATGAAGGGATGCACAAAATAGACACAGATGTTGAGATTTAACTTAAAAATGCCTTATGTGACAATTGAGGTTAAAATGTAACATCAAAACAGAAAAGTCTAACTACAGTATATAACATTGCCAAAAAGGAGCATACCTGTTAAGGTGTCATGACAGAAAGATGTGAACTGTCAAATACATTGATTCACTCAATGGAAAAATAACAAATACATCTTCAGCCATGCATGTGCAAATGAAACTAGCAAAATATCTCTATAATCCTAACAAAAGTGGGGTCAATTGTCTGATTGTGACTATGGCATACAGTGTTCATGAATTACTACCAGTTTGTGGTGGTACCAACGGTTCACAAAAAAGCTGAGCCTATATTGCCTGACCAGTGAGTGGGAACCTGCAAGTCCAATACATCTGTTCTGTGTTTGTGGCTCTGCCCTAACGTTGATATGTTCCAACTTACACCAACAATAATTTCCTTCATATCAAGCATCAGGAAGATGCCTTTACATCTGTGACCTTAACCATGGACATGACCTTTATAGATTACATATCATATTTCAGATCCCATATATATTATTTGTTATTTATCTCCTACTCTTCCCTGATATTAGGGATGGTGAGTTAAGACTTATGACAATTATTGTTCCCATCTCAGTGCATAATTAGTAGTGTTGGGAATTGGTTAAAATTGATCATTGGTCCATTAAAACCGATCAATCATCGAAAATAATTGGTTAGGATCATTTATCAAATGTTCCTGTTACCTTTGTTAATGCACAAAATAATTTACAAAAAAAAACATGTAGTTCTTTGGGTTTGGGGGTAAATTGCACAAAATGCATTTTCATACTTCACATATTTAAAGGATGGTTAGTATGTGAGGAACATAAATTTCCAGGAGTCTTTAAGATAAATTCAATCATGACTTGGAACAAGCTTGTAGTGCTTATGAAATGTAAATAAAATGACTCAGACAAACCAACCTTGTGAAAAAATATTGTTAATGCAAACAAGTGTTCCAAAACTGCTTGTGTTCGATTATGAGAAAACATTTTCGATTGCTTGGTCATTTAGTCACTGCGACCAATCTTCGATTATTTCAATTAATCAGACCACCACTAATAATTGGTTGACTGCTCACTTAAACTCAGAGCCTTGGTCACATTGTGGTATTCTTGGATTTCCCCATCCATACTCAAGGTAGATCCTATGTAGTTGATCCACAAAGTCAATGGTATGTTGCCCCACTGGTGTTTTCTATATCAGGTTTCAAATTTGCTTCATTAGGAAATTTGGGATAACAATTGCCTGTCACCCTGCTGATCAATAAACTCCTGTACGGATTGCTAAGAATTTTTCAGCATAATACCGGTTTATCAATGTTCTGATATTTTCGGAATTTCGGATCCTGAACCCAACAAACGCTGTGTAAATTTGTGGATATGACATTATGAAGTCCAGACTGAGGAATCACTATTTTCCTGTCCCCATCAATAATTTCCAGTCTGTATTTTCCATGGACAGGGTTGTGGATTTCTTTCAAAGGTAAATCAAACTTGTTCATTTTCTTACAAAAATGATAAAACTTGACAATCTTACTTTTCTGGGGAATGTCACCTCCTTCAAGTTTTAATCTAAGGCAGTCGTGATGTCATTTGAAATAACACCAATGCTTCTATTTCTTGAAGGTTGAGCCTGAAATGCATCAAAATCCATCATTAGGTTCAATTGTACCTCATATGTTTGTTTCTATTTTATCTCACATTATGTGATTAATGTTAATAATGTTATATAATTTATTGAGTCATCTTACAAAAGTTATTAACAAATGTATACAATACAAAAGGTACACACAAGGACCCTCTTTATTCTATATGGAGTGTTATTCCACACAAAAAAATGAAAAGAATAAGACAAACCAAACTGAGGTAAAACATATTTTAATGTGGTTGCCTCATCAGCATTAAGATTACTCTTTAGAGTTTATTTGGGTAAACATACTGACAGTATGGTACAATGAACATATCACTGCACAATAGATTATAACATAATAAACACATATGAAACACATAAACAGTCACTGAACACTATATTAATGCACACCATTATTAACATACCATATCAAGATGTAATCACACCCAAATAGTTCAGCTGCTGCCTATACTTAATATGTGGCTGATTATGAATTAGGGCAAATGAGACACTAACATGACTAACAATTATCTTCAAACTAAGAAACAAAGGCTAGGTTCTGTACGTACTGTTAGGATGGATTACTTGTTGAAGTGGTAGTACATCTCAGTGATGTATTAATGGTAATCATAATAATTATAAAGCCTTTTAAAATGGAAAAGAAACATATATTATCCGAGTCCTTCAAATCCATTAAATCCTTTCTTCAATATACATAATAATTGTCAAAACATATCACATTTATAAAAGTTGTACACATGAAACCATGTTATATGCAAGATTACACTTTCTCAGTAAAATACACATTCTAGACATGTTTGGGGTTCAGTCCCATCCAGGATTTGAACCGACTCTCTCCACCAAATCGCCAACATACAAAGTCAGTGATCTAGCCAACTCAGCTGTGAACATAATTATATTGTCAGACTTTCACCACACCTAGTCAAATACATCCAAAATGGCCTTTGGTCCAAAATGTGTTTTACATGCTCTCACATTGAACAGAGTAAATGACATGGCAACTAAATAATATTTCACATATGGTAGTCTCCAAAGCAGTTTGCAAAAGAAAATTATTTAAGTGATAAACAGCTGGTGTTTCCTTTTCATATATTTTGCTGTAATCTTCAGGTTATTATAAATATGAAATATGAAATGGATACTTACATGCACTTACATGTTGCATGAAATATCACTAAACTACATAAGTCAATAATGCCTTGTCTTCCTATGTGATGTTTATATGTGTACTTATGACCCTTCTGCAGCTGCCCTTAAACGTACAGAAAGGTCTTAATGTTGAAAAAAATGGAGACATCTACACTAGGCAAATCTGTGATTTATGTACTGTATGTGTACATGTGAGTGAGAGAGTGAATTTAGTTTTATGCCGCATTTAGCAATATTCCAGCAATATCACGGCAGGGGACACCAGAAATGGGCTTCATCCATTTGGGGAATCGAACCTGGGAAGCAAACTTAAACCAGTGGGCTACCCCATGCCCTGTATATGTGTACATGTCACTTAAAAAAATTTAAAAAGAATTGGATGAAGCTTCAATACTTTTCCCTGTCCAACATGTCAATATGGCACAAGATACAGAGAGATTTGTTACACTGAAAGACCTGTAAGAGGTAAATTATGTCTATTTCATTAATGTTTTGCAAATTGTATTTCTGCATTAATAAAGAATGTTTTATAATCATACAGATACCATGGGAGTTTATTCATTTGTCACAAAAAAAGAGTGTCATGGGATAATTTCACGCAACATCATATTTCGAATGACAGAAAATCTTTAAACCTCAAAACTAGTAACTATGCAACTTCCTGTTCATTAATGGTCAGTTGTTTGCCTTCCTCTGCTGACATCATCAAATCATAGCAGAGTCTGCTACATTAATAGAATATGGTTTTGATATTCATGACCTGATGTGATTGAGATAGTTTAAAACTGTTTCAACACACACTCCTGCATTGCTTATTATGTAAACAAACAACTGTCCAGGTTTGATAAACCATTTATGAGAGGGCTAACACCAGTGTCTGATCTTTAATTTATCCCCAAAGTCATTTGTGTAAGCATCTTTGATGTAGGCTGGTGATCTAAGTGGAGAGGAATCAGAAACATTGTTCAAAGTTAGAAAGCACAGAATTCAGGCCAGAAATTGGCCAGGGTCACATGAAACAGCTTTAAAGTCCTGACATATGTAAGGCTGAATAATGAATTTTGCCAGAAAGTATAAAGTAAGGGGTTGGAATATGCCTAGCAATGTGAAACACTGACCAAAGAACCCTAATGCCTGTTAAAGCCAGGAAATTGAAATTTAAACAGATGAAAGCTCTTTGAGACAACAGCATGAAACGAAATTACACATGAGTCTATCAATTCATCAAGCTAAGACTTTGAAATACTTCCATGAAATAAAACAAATTCACTGTTTGCTGTTTTGAGAATGCTAGACTTGCCAATTTCATATATGAAAAACAAAATGAAAAAAATCCAGATAACTTATGAAGTTTATTAGTTACCCTGCCCAAAAGTGATTATTATTCATCAGAAATATCTAATAGATGAGGTTGAGAGAGTTATGGAATTTGAGATAGAGCCTTCACTGGACTGGGGCACTTAAATGTACTGTATGTATCTACATGTTCAAGTACCACAACTTGTTCAAGGTGGTAGAGGATATCAAGGTGAAAGGAGGGTGCACACACTGCCAACATCAGACCGACTTGTTGAAACACAACATTGGATGTGAAGGCTTCTGATTCTGCTGTATGTGCAAAGATACACCTCCCCAGTCACCATCAGTCATTCTCCAAGCTGAAAATAGTGTCAAGATCATATTAAATGTTCAATCATAAAGACCATAACAGCCATGAGACAGTTTTTGAGAAACTAAATAATTGTTTGAAAGTCATGAGAGAAAAAAGTTTATTCATATGCAAAAAGGGTGTAACAGAAAGAATGGATCATATGCAACACTGTTTACTTAAAATAAGAGGGTTTTGTGACATATTGTGCCATCAGCAGTGAACACATTTAATACTCACAATACTCATATCATATGACTTTACACACAGACACCCAAATTGTGTCAGTGGTGACTTTATCCTAATTTGTTGTCAATTCATCGGTTTCAACAAATTTAGAAGCCAGGTAACCATTACCATGTGGGCTCTTGTCACTGTTAGACCACAAATCGAGGCTACATTCAAATCAAGGCCACTAAAACAATCCATTCAACTCAAGAAGCCCTAGCTTCACTCCCTTAAATTAGTCTCTATAACAATGCCAACTTGTATCCATGGTGAAACATAAATAGGAAAGCATATACATGTAATGTATGAATTACTAAAATGTGCACTCACCTTTACATGTTGCACAAAATCAAATGTTTTCCCATTAACTTCCAAAGCAACATTAAAAACAACCAGGCTGTTAACGGCCAATACATGTAGTACATATAGCCTCAGACCACTTTACTATCTACAGTGACATGCCATGGCCAGAGCACCATAATTAATATCTGTCCTAGGCTGTCCTGGGGCATGCTGACCAACCTATTACTTCTCACTTACCCAGCAAAATATCGGTCTGGATCGAGCATTTCAATTTTGCTGTATCCACTGTCAACAACGGTCACCGGAATTTTTGAGCTGAAATACACTAAACAGCCTTGAACTTGGGGTCAAATCATGAAAGGCTGGAGTCAATAGCATGTGCAGATTGAGGACAAAAACAAATGGCAATAAAGTAAAATGTCTGATCTTTCATTTAAGCTGTCACAAGTCACCCTGAATAAATTAGCACAGACAAATCAGTGCATTTAAACAAGGCACTACATTCTCCTATTTTCCTTCCGGGTCATGGTAAAACTTAGAGGAGTAATACAGGAGTGTGAGAAGCGCCGACCCCAGTTTCGCACCAAAATGTAACCTACTTGAAAATATCTCTGCACACATTCTGCAGAAGCCATCAGGTTAAAAAGAAGCAACTACACATTGAAAAAATATGGTTAGTTTTAATTACTGGATGAATGCACATTTAAACAACATAAAATCATCCAATCACTGCTGTCATTTGATTCAGTCAGCACTGAAGGCTCTCTACGATGCTTTAAAATAAACAGGCACAGCAAAAACAACATGCATTTCATTTCCTACCAGTCCCCTGGGGTGCTTGGGGCTGGATGAAGCTCTCCTGGGCAGCTGGCAGAACCTCTGTGGTGCACACTGACTGTCCGCCTTGACGCGCCGAGGAAGTGGCCCAGCTTGGCTGAAATGGGAGAGAGATTGAATGAAATTTTCAGTCTAGAGGGGGTTGTACATGGTCAAAGGGATCAGGTGGGGCCTCTGCACCAGCCAAAAACAGCCAAGAGGGTCCAGGGAGGGGCCAAGACATCATTGTGCATTTAAGGTTTTCTGTGCACTTAAGGACTGCTATAGGAAACCTTAAGTGCACAGAAAACCTTAAATGCACAATGGACCTTTTTAAAAAAGGCACAGCAAAAACAACATGCATTTCATTTCCTACCAGTCCCCTGGGGTGCTTGGGGCTGGATGAAGCTCTCCTGGGCAGCTGGCAGAACCTCTGTGGTGCACACTGACTGTCCGCCTTGACGCGCCGAGGAAGCGGCCCAGCTTAGCTGAAATGGGAGAGAGAGTGAATGAAATTTTCAGTCTAGAGGGGTTGTACATGGTCAAAGGGATCAGGTGGGGCCTCTGCACCAGCCAAAACAGCCAAGAGGGTCCAGGGAGGGGCCAAGACATCATTGTGCATTTAAGGTTTTTCTGTGCACTTAAGGACTGCTATAGGAAACCTTAAGTGCACAGAAAACCTTAAATGCACAATGGACCTTTTAAAAAAAGGCACAGCAAAAACAACATGCATTTCATTTCCTACCAGTCCCCTGGGGTGCTTGGGGCTGGATGAAGCTCTCCTGGGCAGCTGGCAGAACCTCTGTGGTGCACACTGACTGTCCTGGCCTTGACGCCGAGGAGAGTGGCCCAGCTAGGCTGAAATGGGAGAGAGTGAATGAAATTTTCAGTCTAGAGGGGGTTGTACATGGTCAAAGGGATCAGGTGGGGCCTCTGCACCAGCCAAAAACAGCCAAGAGGGTCCAGGGAGGGGCCAAGACATCATTGTGCATTTAAGGTTTTCTGTGCACTTAAGGACTGCTATAGGAAACCTTAAGTGCACAGAAAACCTTAAATGCACAATGGACCTTTTAAAAAGGCACAGCAAAAACAACATGCATTTCATTTCCTACCAGTCCCCTGGGGTGCTTGGGGCTGGATGAAGCTCTCCTGGGCAGCTGGCAGAACCTCTGTGGTGCACACTGACTGTCCGCCTTGACGCGCCGAGGAAGTGGCCCAGCTTGGCTGAAATGGGAGAGAGAGTGAATGAAATTTTCAGTCTAGAGGGGTTGTACATGGTCAAAGGGATCAGGTGGGGCCTCTGCACCAGCCAAAACAGCCAAGAGGGTCCAGGGAGGGGCCAAGACATCATTGTGCATTTAAGGTTTTCTGTGCACTTAAGGACTGCTATAGGAAACCTTAAGTGCACAGAAAACCTAAATGCACAATGGACCTTTTAAAAGGCACAGCAAAAAACAACATGCATTTCATTTCCTACCAGTCCCCTGGGGTGCTTGGGGCTGGATGAAGCTCTCCTGGGCAGCTGGCAGAACCTCTGTGGTGCACACTGACTGTCCGCCTTGACGCCGAGGAAGCTGCCCAGCTTGGCTGAAATGGGAGAGAGAGAGTGAATGAAATTTTTCAGTCTAGAGGGGTTGTACATGGTCAAAGGGATCAGGTGGGGCCTCTGCACCAGCCAAAAAACAGCCAAGAGGGTCCAGGGAGGGGCCAAGACATCATTGTGCATTTAAGGTTTTCTGCACTTAAGGACTGCTATAGGAAACCTTAAGTGCACAGAAAACCTTAAATGCACAATGGACCTTTTTCAAAAAGGCACAGCAAAAACAACATGCATTTCATTTCCTACCAGTCCCCTGGGGTGCTTGGGGCTGGATGAAGCTCTCCTGGGCAGCTGGCAGAACCTCTGTGGTGCACACTGACTGTCCGCCTTGACGCCGAGGAAGTGGCCCAGCTTGGCTGAAATGGGAGAGAGAGTGAATGAAATTTTCAGTCTAGAGGGGGTTGTACATGGTCAAAGGGATCAGGTGGGGCCTCTGCACCAGCCAAAAACAGCCAAGAGGGTGCAGGGAGGGGCCAAGACATCATTAGTGCATTTAAGGGTTTCTGTGCACTTAAGGACTGCTATAGGAAACCTTAAGTGCACAGAAAACTAAATAAATGCACAATGGACCTTTTTAAAAAGGCACAGCAAAACAACATGCATTTCATTTCCTACCAGTCCCCTGGGGTGCTTGGGGCTGGATGAAGCTCTCCTGGGCAGCTGGCAGAACCTCTGTGGTGCACACTGACTGTCCGCCTTGACGCCGAGGAAAGTGGCCCAGCTTGGCTGAAATGGGAGAGAGAGATGAATGAAATTTTCAGTCTAGAGGGGGTTGTACATGGTCAAAGGGATCAGGTGGGGCCTCTGCACCAGCCAAAAAGCCAAGAGGGTCCAGGGAGGGGCCAAGACATCATTGTGCATTTAAGGTTTTCTGTGCACTTAAGGACTGCTATAGGAAACCTTAAGTGCACAGAAACCTTAAATGCACAATGGACCTTTTTAAAAAGGCACAGCAAAAACAACATGCATTTCATTTCCTACCAGTCCCCTGGGGTGCTTGGGGCTGGATGAAGCTCTCCTGGGCAGCTGGCAGAACCTCTGTGGTGCACACTGACTGTCCGGCCTTGACGCGCCGAGGAAGTGGCCCAGCTAGGCTGAAATGGGAGAGAGAGTGAATGAAATTTTCAGTCTAGAGGGGTTGTACATGGTCAAAGGGATCAGGTGGGGCCTCTGCACCAGCCAAAAACAGCCAAGAGGGTCCAGGGAGGGGCCAAGACATCATTGTGCATTTAAGGTTTTTTCTGTGCACTTAAGGACTGCTATAGAAACCTTAAGTGCACAGAAAACCTTAAATGCACAATGGACCTTTTAAAAGGCACAGCAAAACAACATGCATTTCATTTCCTACCAGTCCCTGGGGTGCTTGGGGCTGGATGAAGCTCTCCTGGGCAGCTGGCAGAACCTCTGTGGTGCACACTGACTGTCCGCCTTGACGTGCGCCGAGAAGTGGCCCAGCTAGGCTGAAATGGGAGAGAGAGTGAATGAAATTTTCAGTCTAGAGGGGGTTGTACATGGTCAAAGGGATCAGGTGGGGCCTCTGCACCAGCCAAAAAACAGCCAAGAGGGTCCAGGGAGGGGCCAAGACATCATTGTGCATTTAAGGTTTTCTGTGCACTTAAGGACTGCTATAGGAAACCTTAAGTGCACAGAAAAAACCTTAAATGCACAATGGACCTTTTTAAAAGGCACAGCAAAACAACATGCATTTCATTTCCTACCAGTCCCCTGGGGTGCTTGGGGCTGGATGAAGCTCTCCTGGGCAGCTGGCAGAACCTCTGTGGTGCACACTGACTGTCCGCCTTGACGCCTTGACGCCGAGGAAGCGCCCAGCTAGGCTGAAATGGGAGAGAGAGTGAATGAAATTTTCAGTCTAGAGGGTTGTACATGGTCAAAGGGATCAGGTGGGCCTCTGCACCAGCCAAAAACAGCCAAGAGGGTCCAGGAGGGGTTAAGACATCATTAGTTGCATTTAAGGTTTTCTGTGCACTTAAGGACTGCTATAGGAAACCTTAAGTGCACAGAAAACCTTAAATGCACAATGGACCTTTTAAAAAGGCACAGCAAAAACAACATGCATTTCATTTCCTACCAGTCCCTGGGGTGCTTGGGGCTGGATGAAGCTCTCCTGGGCAGCTGGCAGAACCTCTGTGGTGCACACTGACTGTCCGCTTTGACGCGCCCGAGGAAGTGCCCAGCTTAGGCTGAAATGGGAGAGAGAGTGAATGAAATTTTCAGTCTAGAGGGGGTTGTACATGGTCAAAGGGATCAGGTGGGGCCTCTGCACCAGCCAAAAAACAGCCAAGAGGGTCCAGGGAGGGGCCAAGACATCATTGTGCATTTAAGGTTTTCTGTGCACTTAAGGACTGCTATAGGAAACCTTAAGTGCACAGAAAAAACCTAAATGCACAATGGACCTTTTAAAAAAGGCACAGCAAAAACAACATGCATTTCATTTCCTACCAGTCCCCTGGGGTGCTTGGGGCTGGATGAAGCTCTCCTGGGCAGCTGGCAGAACCTCTGTGGTGCACACTGACTGTCCGCCTTGACGCTGCCGAGGAAGTGGCCCAGCTAGGCTGAAATGGGAGAGAGATTGAATGAAATTTTCAGTCTAGAGGGGTTGTACATGGTCAAAGGGATCAGGTGGAGCCTCTGCACCAGCCAAAACAGCCAAGAGGGTCCAGGGAGGGGGCCAAGACATCATTGTGCATTTATTGGTTTTCTGTGCACTTAAGGACTGCTATAGGAAACCTTAAGTGCACAGAAAACCTTAAATGCACAATGGACCTTTTTAAAAAAGGCACAGCAAAAACAACATGCATTTCATTTCCTACCAGTCCCCTGGGGTGCTTGGGGCTGGATGAAGCTCTCCTGGGCAGCTAGCAGAACCTCTGTGGTGCACACTGACTGTCCGCCTTGACGCGCGGAGGAAGCGGCCCAGCTAGGCTGAAATGGGAGAGAGAGTGAATGAAATTTTCAGTCTAGAGGGGTTGTACATGGTCAAAGGGATCAGGTGGAGCCTCTGCACCAGCCAAAAACAGCCAAGAGGGTCCAGGGAGGGGCCAAGACATCATTGTGCATTTAAGGTTTTCTGTGCACTTAAGGACTGCTATAGGAAACCTTA